TCAATGTCTTTGATCAGATCAGCACTATACCAGCGTTCACATTAGTCTAGCGTCCCCAAAAACGCAGCGTTAGTGGGATCAGCCCCGGCACCTGCCAGCACTTGCGTTTAGCCCCTACGCTTACCACCCCTTCTCCTCCAGCAAGTGCATGTCAGTATGTCACTGTCACTTGATACATTGCACACAAAACCGCAGTGTTTCGCAGAAACAGGCCTGATCTCTGTTAGCACTTGCCGGTAAATTTTGACTTGCATATGCAGCAGCGTGCCAGTACTAGTGCTGTGCTACCCTTTGGTGGACTGGCGAGCACCAGTGGCCTAGTACATCCTGGTCTTTCAGATACCAGCACTGCAGTATCACTTGGTGACGTGGCAAGTCCCATAAGTGCAGTACAAGCGTGCCAGATATGGGGTCAAGATGTATAAGACCTGTGAAAGGGCAACAGGCTATACTTATAAGTTTCAGATTTACGAGGGAAAAAAACCGCAGTCAACAAATAACAAATAGATAGTCACATGGAGCCCCCCCCCCCCTGCATGCCCAGACTACAAGGGGAGTAGAAACATTTGTACAATCTTGGAACTGGCGCATGTGGCACCGTGTGACCTAATGTGTGCCCACCATTAGAAGTGGGTGGATGCAGGGCAGTATATTCTAATGGTAAGCATACCACACACTTTTTCTGGCAGAGATTTCTTCTCTTTTTTTTTTCATTCAGTCCACAGGCTGCATACAAAAAAAAAAGAATATAGCATATACACCCAACAAGGATCAGCGATGTACTGGTACATCCCTGGACTTTGAATGGTTATACCAGGATGATGCCTACAGCTGCAGGCATCACCTGATATCATTTTTTCAGCAAGCAATCGGCTTTCATGTAAAAGCAATCCTAGTGGCTAATTAGCTGCAGGATTGCTTTTACAAGCAGTGGGAGATAATGCCCCCCCCCCCCCACTGCCTTCCACGGCCTTCTCGGGCAGTCCCGTGCCATCGGGGGAACATGAGAATGCAGCCGGTGTTTCTGCCAGCTGACCATAGAGCTTATTGGAGACCAGAATGGTGCCAATCATCTCTATAGTCTAAGAAAATCGGAAGCTATGAGCATTTCATCACTTCAGTTTCACAGGATATAAACAGCGCCATTTGTAAATTGGGAAAGTATCTGATCACACTGATCTTGGTTTGATTAGATAATGTAAAGGCAGAGGAGATATCTAGAGTCTGATAGACCCCAGATTTCTCAAAAAAGAATATATGACAATGCCCATTGAAGTTAGGGGGGTTATTTGCATTCCCTGTGATAGCATTAAAAATAATAAAAAAAAAAAAATTAAAGGAACAGTGTAAAAATAATTAAAAAAATCAAAATAACTTAAAAAAAAAAACCTTGCCCCCCCTCCCACGCGTTCACGCAGGAGCTTTGACCCTGTGCTGGTATATAAACAGCAGTTGCACCATGCATGTGAGGTATCGCCGTGAACGTCAGATCAAGGGCAGTAATTCTAACACTAGACCTCCTCTGTAAATCTAAAATGATAGCTTGTAAAGGCTTTTAAAATGTTGCCTATGGATATTAAAAATGTATGCAGTTTGTCGCCATTGCATGGGGCATGCGCAGCCTTAAATCATGTCATGTTTGGTATCTAATTACTCGGCATACCATAATCTTTTATATCTTACCAAATAATTGGCCAATATATTGTGTTTTTGTGCACTAAAAGTAAAAAAGTGTATTTTTTTTTTAATTTGCATTTGAAAAAGTATGTGACATAACAAATTGTAGCATCCACCATTAAATTTACTAGGGTTTGTGCTTTAAAAAAATATATATAATGTTTGGGGGTTTAAATTAATTTCCTAGCAAAAAATACAGATTTTTTCATGTGAACAAAAAGTGTCAGAAAAGGCTTGGTCTTCAGGTGGTTAGAAGAGTGAGTGATGTGTGGCATAAACGTCTAATGCTGGGCATAGAATGCCCCCACCCCCCAAAACGACCCCTTTTTGGAAAGTAGACACCCCAAACTATTTGCTGAGAGGCATGCTGAATCAATAGAAGAATTTATTTTTTTACCACAAGTTTTAGGAAAATGACAAAACAAAATATTTTTTTTTTACACAAAATTGTCACTTAAATGATTTACTGCTCACACATGCCATGGGTATATGTGAAATTACTCTCCAAAATACATTTTGCTACTTCTCCCGAGTATGGGGGTACCACATGTGAGAGACGTTTTGGCAGTCTAGCCAAGTACAGAACCCCAAAATTCAATAAGCACCTTCAGGCTTTTAAAGGGCTTTATTTCCTCATTACACTTCCTGACTACCTATCACACTTTCGGAGGCCCTGAAATGCCAGGATAGGAACCTAACCCCCCCAAATGACCCCTTTTTGGAAAGTAGATACCCCAAGGAATTTGATAGGCATGGTAAGTATTTTGCAGATCTCATTTTTTGCCACAAGTTTTTGGAAAATGAAGAAAAAAAAACAAAAACATATTTTTTTCTATCTTGTTTTATATTTCAAAACCTTGTGAGAAAAAATTAGATATGAAAAATACTCACCATACCTCTTTTTAAATTCCTTGGGGTGTCTACTTTCCAGAAAGGGGTCATTTTGGGGGGGTTGGTGCTATCCTGGCATGTCAGGGCCTTCGAAACTGTGATAGGTAGTGAGGAAGTGTAATGAGGAAGTTACGCACCTTCAGGCTTTCAAAGTGGTCATTGGATTTCAGGCTCCTGTATGTGGCTAGGCTCCCAAAAAGTCTCACACACGTGGTATCCTCATACTCGGTAGAAGCAGCAGAATGTTTTTTGGGGTGTAATTCCACATATATCCATGGCTTGTGCGAGAAATAAATCATTTAAATGACAACTTTGTGTAAAAATGTTTTTGTCATTTTCCAGAAACTTGTGGAAAAAAAATAAATCTTCCATGGACACAATATGCCTCTCAGCAGATAGCTCACTAGATATTCACTAGGGTGTCTGCTTTAAAAAAATATATAATGTTTGGGGGTTTAAATTAATTTCCTAGCAAAAAATACAGATTTTTTTCATGTGAACAAAAAGTGTCAGAAAAGGCTTGGTCTTCAGGTGGTTAGAAGAGTGAGTGATGTGTGGCATAAACGTCTAATGCTGGGCATAGAATGCCCCCACCCCCCAAAACGACCCCTTTTTGGAAAGTAGACACCCCAAACTATTTGCTGAGAGGCATGCTGAATCAATAGAAGAATTTATTTTTTTACCACAAGTTTTAGGAAAATGACAAAACAAAATATTTTTTTTTTTTACACAAAATTGTCACTTAAATGATTTACTGCTCACACATGCCATGGGTATATGTGAAATTACTCTCCAAAATACATTTTGCTACTTCTCCCGAGTATGGGGGTACCACATGTGAGAGACGTTTTGGCAGTCTAGCCAAGTACAGAACCCCAAAATTCAATAAGCACCTTCAGGCTTTTAAAGGGCTTTATTTCCTCATTACACTTCCTGACTACCTATCACACTTTCGGAGGCCCTGAAATGCCAGGATAGGAACCTAACCCCCCCAAATGACCCCTTTTTGGAAAGTAGATACCCCAAGGAATTTGATAGGCATGGTAAGTATTTTGCAGATCTCATTTTTTGCCACAAGTTTTTGGAAAATGAAGAAAAAAAACAAAAAACATATTTTTTCTATCTTGTTTTATATTTCAAAACCTTGTGAGAAAAAAATTAGATATGAAAAATACTCACCATACCTCTTTTTAAATTCCTTGGGGTGTCTACTTTCCAGAAAGGGGTCATTTTGGGGGGGTTGGTGCTATCCTGGCATGTCAGGGCCTTCGAAACTGTGATAGGTAGTGAGGAAGTGTAATGAGGAAGTTACGCACCTTCAGGCTTTCAAAGTGGTCATTGGATTTCAGGCTCCTGTATGTGGCTAGGCTCCCAAAAAGTCTCACACACGTGGTATCCTCATACTCGGTAGAAGCAGCAGAATGTTTTTTGGGGTGTAATTCCACATATATCCATGGCTTGTGCGAGAAATAAATCATTTAAATGACAACTTTGTGTAAAAATGTTTTTGTCATTTTCCAGAAACTTGTGGAAAAAAAAATAAATCTTCCATGGACACAATATGCCTCTCAGCAGATAGCTCACTAGATATTCACTAGGGTGTCTGCTTTAAAAAAATATATAATGTTTGGGGGTTTAAATTAATTTCCTAGCAAAAAATACTGATTTTTTTCATGTGAACAAAAAGTGTCAGAAAAGGCTTGATCTTCAGGTGGTTAGAAGAGTGAGTGATGTGTGGAATAAACGTCTAATGCTGGGCATAAAATGCCCCCACCCCCCCCATAACGACCCCTTTTTGGAAAGTAGACTCCCCAAACTATTTGGTGAGAGGCATGTTGAATCAATAGAAGAATTTATTTTTTTACTACAAGTTTTTGGAAAATAACAAATAAAAAATTTTATTTTTACACAAAATTGTCACTTAAATGATTTACCTGCCCTCCAGTGGATTTACCCTACTTCTTGACCAGGGCATTTTTGCAATAAGGCACTGTGTTACTTTAACTGACAATTGTGCGGTCATTCAATGCTGCACCCAAATTAAATGTATGTCCTTCCCCCCCAAAAAAGAGCTTTCTTTCTGTGGTATTTGATTACCTCTGCGTTTTGTATTTTTTGCGCTATAAACAAAAAAAAAACCCCCAATATTTTTGACTTTTTGCTATAAAACATATCCAGTAAAAAAAAAATTTAAATCAAATTTCTTCATAAATTTAGGCCAAAATGTATTCTGCTACATGTCTTTGCTAAAGAAATCCCAATACATGTCAATTAATTGGTTTATGTGACAGTTTTAGCGTCTACAAATGGCGGTATATATACCGGAATTTTTATTTTTAATTCTTTTTATACTAGTATTGGCGGCGATCAGCGACTTATAGCGGGACTGCGGGACTGCGGGTGGGCATTCTGACACTGGGTGGGAACTGACTAACTGCCACTGACATCCCAATGACACTAATACAGTGATCAGTGCTAAATAAAAGCACTGACACTGAACTAATGACACTGGGCAGGAAGGAGTTAACATCTGGGGCGATCAAAGGGTTAACAGTGTGCTGTTTTACATAATGTGCTGTGTGTGTTTTACTAGGGAGACATGCTGCTGTGTATTTATCTGCAGTGAAATACACAGTAGCTGTGAGAAATACACAGGAGCATGTCCTTGCTGGTTCTAACAGAACACAGATGCAATTCATGTCACCTCACTTCATGTGTGGTGACATTTACAGTTTGATATGGTAACATGTAGTGAGACAATATGGATACTGCCGGGTAACTAGCATTTCCAGAGGTGACCAGTGGCAGCCTTTATGTCCTATCACTCAGAAAATCGCATCAATATCCTTAGTCAGCTTTATCCACATTTTAATTAGGTATAGGGTGAATAAACATTAATTAAGGCTCTACTGTAAAAACAAAGAAGCACCAAAATGTAAAGGCACACACATAAATAGAGCTTTATTTTGGTGGTATTTGATCACCACTGGTTTTTTATTTTTTATTATATAAACAAAAAAAAGGCTAATAATTTTGAAAATAAACACAATAATTTTCACTTTCTGCTATAAAACATATCTAATAAGAAAAACTTTAAAATCAAATGTCTTCACAAATTTAGGTCAAAATGTATTCTGCTACATATTTTTGGTATAAAAAAATCCCAATAAACGTATATTAGTTGGTTTGCATGAAATTATAGTGTCTACAAACTAAATTTTTTATTTATTAATTTTTTTAAACTACTTATGACAGTGATAAACGACTTATAGCAGGATTGTGTTATAATGGCGGGCAATCTGACACTAAGGCCTCTTTCACACAGGCGTTCCGTATGTCTGTTTTTCATCTGTCCATTTACAGATGAAAAACGGACACCCATGTATTTCTATGGACTAGCAGATGTAAACGGATGATTATCCGTTTACATCTGTTAATGTCCATATCCATTAACATCTGTTTTTTTGAACGGAAGAAAACCCTCTTTTTCTTCCGTAAAAAAAAAACGGAACGGACGAAAAAGGATGTAAACGGCCGAAAAATGGATGAAACAAAACTGATGTAAACTGATGAAAAGCGGATATAAACTGATACGTTTTTTCTTTGAAAGAACGTGACTGAACTGATAAAACAAAATGGAATGGACCCTAACTGACACTTTGTGGGAACTGACTAACTGCTACTGACATCTCCAATGACACTAACACAGTGAGCAATTCTAACAATATACTGTATACACTGACACTGTACTAATGACACTGGCTGGGAAGGGTTTAACATCTGGTCCACTGCTGAAGATTCTACCACTGAATAAAACCCAAGGACATTGTTATGATTTTCGTAACTTAAGAAAAGTTTGATTCAGTCCCTTCCTTGTCCAAGTGTCTAATAGTAAATGAAACTGAAATGTCCCCTGAGAAAGCTGTGAATCCAAAATGAATTTTTAGATCGTTCTACTATAACCTTGATCTTATACAATGTTCTGCAATAGGTTGTAGAAGAGGCAAATAACTTAATTTTTAGCTTTTCTTGATTAACCGATAACAACCAATCGTCAAGCCCCTTTATGGAAAACAGGTCCATCTTCTGTATGTTTTCTAATGAAGTCTGTGGGATCAAACTCTGACTAAACTGATTTCACATCGAAGATCCGGTAAATACATCATACAAAGATTTCATGTCATGCTTGAAAATGTCTGTATTAAACCCTGAGTAAATGAATCACATAAAACTCTACTTTTCACTTTTGTGATAGCTTTAATATGTGGTTACTGCCAGTGAAGGGGATGCAATCAGATTTTTGGATGGAATCATGTCACATATAGCTGATCTTAATGTTAGGCTGGAATCACACCTATGCACACAACAGATGCCTTATCAGGAGCATTCATGCATGCACACCACAATGCATGTTATAAGTATATTGAAGTAAATTGCAATTCATTCTGAATGAATATACACTATATTGCCAAAAAGTATTGGGACACACCCCTCCAAATCATTGGATTCAGGTGTTCCAATCACCTCCGTGGCCACAGGTGTGTAAGATCAAGCACCTAGGCATGCAGACTGCTTCTACAAACATTTGTGAAAGAATGGGTCGCTCTCAGGAGCTCAATGAATTCAAGCGTGGTACCGTGATAGGTTTCCACCTGTGCAATAGGTCCAGCCATGAAATTTCCTTGCTACTAAATATTCCACAGTCAACTGTTAGTGATATTATAACAAAGTGGAAGCAACTGGGGAACAATAGCAACTCAGCCACAAAGTGGTAGGCCATATAAAATGACAGAGCGTGGCTGCGCTTGCTAAAGTGCACAGCGTGCAGTAGTCGCCAACTGTCTGTAGAGTAAAGACCTCCAAACTTTGTGTGGCCATCAGATTAGCACAACAACAGTGCATAGAGAGCTTCATGGAACGGGCTTCCATGGCCAAGCAGTTGCATCCAAGTCCAAGCCTTACATCACCAAGTGCAATGCAAAGCGTTGGATGCAGTGGTGTAAAGCACACCGCCACTGGACTCTAGAACACTGGAGACATGTTCTCTGGAGTGACAAATCAGGCTTCTCTGTCTGGCAATCTGATGGATGTGTCTGGGTTTGGTGGTTGCCAGGAGAACAGTACTTGCCTGACTGCATTGTGCCAAGTGTAAAGTTTGGTGGAGGGGGGATTATGGTATGGGGTTGTTTTTCAGGGGTTGGGCTTGTCCCCTTAGTTCCAGTAAAGCATACCAAGGCATTTTGGACAATTTCATGTTACCAACTTTGTGGGAACAGTTTGGGGATGGCCCCTTCCTATTCCAACATGACTGTACATCAGTGCACAAAGCAAGGTTCATAAAGACATGGATGAGTGACTTTTGGGGTGAAGAACTTGACTGGCCTGCACAGAGTCCTGACCTCAACCCAATAGAACACCTTTGGGATGAATTAGAGCGGAGACTGAAAGCCAGTCCTTCTCGTCCAACATAAGTGCCTGACCTCACAAATGTGCTTCTCGAAGAATGGTCAAACATTCCCATAGACACACTCCTAAACCTTCTGGACAGCCTTCCCAGAAGAGTTGAAGCTATTATAGCTGCAAAGGGTAGGCCAACTCAATATTGAACCTACGGACTAAGACTGGGATGCAATAAAGTTCATGTCCATGTAAAGGCAGGCATCCCAATACTTTTAGCAATACAGTGTATATGGTGTAAACAAACATATTTATCCCTCTGCAGACCACAACTTTAAATTCATTGCCCAAACAAGCAAGTTTATTCCTTAATTACTTGGCGCTGGTGCTTCCCAGTCCTTTAACCTCCCTAGCGGTATGATTATTTCAGATTTTTGGTGCTGAAAGCGGTACCATTTTTTTTGCATGGAAATATGTATTTTTTTTTTGTAGGCTGTAATTTTTTAGGAAAAACTCACTGAAATCTGTCCGAACAAGAGTCTAGTAAACATCCCGGGTATGATAAAATTTGAAACACAAAATCATAAATTATAATTTAATAAATAATCATAAAAATAATATAAAAAAATAATAAAAAATTTAATTCAATAATATAATCAAACCAAAAACACTGAAATGTGAAATAGAGCGCCAAGTTCGCGCATTGCTGAGCTCAGTCGCAAAATCGTTTTCAGTTTCTGATGACGAATTTCCCCACGAATCATTATCACTCAATTCTGTAAGTGGTTCTGATTTACTATCGCTGTTCTCTAGCTGATCTAAACCGCTTTTGACCTAAAGGGACACTTTTTGGACGCCATGGACATTTCTCAGTTTCCAGACAGAAAGAACAGACAAAATGCAGGCAGGGCGCAGGACAAAGCACTCGGGACAATATGTATGTGAAATAGGTTGAAACAGCAATGTTTTACTGTGTAAAATGAAAAAAAAAAAAAATGACATTTTTTAAAATTTTTAAATTTCCCCACCCGCCGGCGGCGGCGGCGGCGCCCGTACGTCCCGACGTCACAGGGACAGGACACAGAAGCCGGATGCCGGCATCGGCTGGAGGAGATGGCCGGGGACGCTGCAGGGGACACATCGTGGGAGCGCAGGGTAAGGTAAGTGAAGAACACATGCCGGAGCAGCGCCGCATGGTATTCCCGAGTGTAGCTCGGGGTTACCGCTTTTGGTACTGAAATGTTACCCCGAGCTACACTCGGAAATACCGCCAAGGAGGTTAAGGGGTTTGTGATGCCAGGAGGCGGGGCAGAGTTTAGGGCCATGATTAGCTGTCACAGCGGTCATATGATTGCCGGGAACATGCATGGCACGCTATCAATGCATGCTCTCGGGACATGCTTGTTTACAATAGGTCGGCGTCAAGGCCCATCAGCTGAAAGGCTGCATATTTGTGTGTACTGTTTGCTCCAAGAAGTTAAGGACTTATTTAAGGTGAATAACCTGCCTTAAGGTGTATTTCCACTTTTGCAGCTTAATTGGCATATTTTTAACATATTCTACATAGCATAAATTTAACCACTTCATTACCAGCACTTTCACCCCCTTCCTTCCTGCCCAGGCCAATTTTCAGCTTTCAGTGCTGTTGCACTTTGACTGACAATTGTGTAGTCACACAACCCTGTACCCATATGAAAGTTCTATCATTGTTTCACACAAATACAGATTTCTTTTGGTGGTATTTATTCACCACTGGGTTTTTTTTGCTAAACAAATGAAACAAAACCAAAAACTTTGAAAAAAAGAGCCTTTTTTAACTGATGGGCACTTATGAGGCTTCACTGATTTTGACTTAGTTAATGCTTATTACTATGGGCCTCATGCTTATATATTGTTTCCTGGGATTGCATGCTTCTCACCTTTTTCATACTTCGATTTGATGGGATATGTCTAAAGTTTTTAAGCTTTTAACCTTTTTGAAATGTTATTAGTTAATGGAATTCCCGTGTAGGCCCTGAGAGGGCGGATTGCCATTCCTCTTCTCTGCGCCATTGTGCTTGGTGGTTGTCTCCAGGGCCCTTCTTATTTTCTCTTGTGATGTTTATATGAAGGATCTCTCCCGCAGGTCTGCTGCATTATCTTGTAGGCTGCCTACTCCTCCCTCCTAGGATGTTCCACAT